TACCACACTGTTAGTTTGTGGTGTAAACTCGATAGACAAAAATTTGAGAAAAAACTTTTTGGAGCATAACTTGGTGTAGCTCATATAGTAGCTGAATAACGCAAAAAAATTTTCAGGGGACCAACAAAACGGTGTCACATCACATTACAACTGGTGTTGATTTTTTGGGTTATTAACGTTGTTGTTTTGCTATTATTTTCTCCAAGTTATTGCCCTTTTCTTCTCCACGTCTTATAGACAATCTTGTGAATTCTCTAGAGATATTTATTTTTAAAAAGCTCTCAAATATCAACATATACAGTATATCCATGTAAAACCTTCAATTACAATTTAATTAAAAGCCAAAAAAAAACTTCAAAACCAAATATCAAAATTAATTCTTCGTTTACATAAAACATGTCAAAAAAAAAAGAAGAGACTTTGTTGTATAAACAAAACGTCGACATTAAGTTATGTCGACACTCACTTTAATTGTGAGAGTCTTTAAGTCTCTTCCCTTTGTATACAAGACTAATAATACAAAATCTTATCTTTTCCAGGCTTAAACACTTCCACACATAAAAAAACCAATGAGAGAGATGACTAAACCTCCTCTAATTTTCTCTGCCGTCTTGCTCCTCCTCTCCATCTCCCACTTCCCCGGCGCTCTGTCTGCATCCGAGGAAGATTGCAAACCCGAGTCGGACAGTTCATGTACGGATAAAAACAGAGCATTTGATCTAAAACTCATAGCAATCTTCACAATCCTCTTGACCAGCCTTGTCGGAGTTTGCCTACCGTTCTTGGCTCATTCTGTTTCGGCCTTCCAACCCGATAAATCGCACTTTCTCATCGTCAAATCCTTCGCTTCCGGAATCATCCTAGCCACTGGTTTCATCCACGTATTGCCTGATTCCTTCGAAATGCTCTCGTCTCATTGTCTTAATGATGACCCCTGGCACAAGTTTCCTTTCACCGGTTTTGTCGCCATGATCTCCGCGGTGTTCACACTCATGGTTGACTCTATCACCACCAGTGTCTTTACCATGTCGGGAAAGAGGGACTCGCATGCTGACATGGCATCTGTAGAGACTCCTGACCAAGAGATGGGGTCCCACCATTGTCATGGTCTTACTCTTCATCATAGTGATGACAAGGAGTTTGGTTCTACTTTGCAGCTTCTGCGATATCGTGTTATTGCCATCGTTAGTATTCTTCTACTCTAGTTTTTCTTCTTTTAATTTACACAAATTTAACTCCTGATTTGATTCCAATATATAGTAGTTTTAACTAGAGGAAAACAAATTTTGTGCTCTAAGCTGCTAAAATTTGTATACATATCGTCTCCTGATTCATTATTATTAGTATTTTTTACGATTTCGATTGTTACGAAAGATAGTGAATAGTTTAATTTTTCTTGGCTTCAAATTTTCAAAAAAAACCAGTTCATTCGGATTGGGGTTCTTTAATTTGAATGCAGATAAATTAGAAAAGGTTGTTAACAAGACCGTTCTTAATTTAACACGCTCGCAAGTGAAGCAAATTGAAAAAAAAAATGAAATCATATGTATAATTAGAGATTTTTCTCTCCTGTTTAGATATGCAAAACTATTTTTGAAAACATTAAAATTTAAAAAAAAAATTATTAATACACACTAAATCATATTTATTTGTTTTCTTATAACTAATAAAAAAATCGAACAAAAACGTGAAACATTAAGTACAATGAATGAAAATAAAAATTAATAAATTTAAGACTAGAAAAAAAAATATATATATATATCACACATATTAAAAAACTATGTGTTTATGATTTGTACTTAAAACAATTAGTAAAAATCAGCTGACGTAATCATATTTCTAAAATGTTAGAAGAAAAAATAATCTCTATATTATTTCTAAGATCTATATATTTCATGAAATATGAACGGTCTATTTCTTATTAAAAGATTTGTACTTCAATAAAAATAAAATCTTACATTCAATTAACTTTATTTTGTTTAACCACACATTTAACTTAAAGCATTATTTTAATTTTTTTCTTTTTCAACCTACTAGAAAGACCAACGTTAAAAATATAATATCATAAAATCTCAAATATTTCTCTACGATGAAAAAAAACCAAAATTTATATAAACTCATGAGACGAAGATAAATGACAAAAGAAAATGAGAAGTAATCATACTATAATCATACTATAAAGATAGATTAGAAAATGATTGATAAATTTTCTCATGAC